TGTCTAGGCAGCCTGGGCCACCAGTGCAGAGAACACACTGGTTAGCTCAAGAGGACAGCCCTATTGATGGATATGTTTGTTTAGTATTGCGAGGCTTTCTAGTTTGGTAAAATAAGGAATTGTAGATGAAAGATAATAACGGTGAAACCATAATTTCTGAAACTGTTACTCCTAATATATTTATGATGTTAAAATATAATTTATCAATATGAAAATTAATATCATAAATATTTATGTGCATTTAATTATAAGTAAAGGTTATGTAAAAGTATATTTTGTGATATTCTGTGTTAACAAGAACCTTCCCTAAAGAATTATGATTATGTGAACTCTCAAACAAAAAGACTTTTGTACTGAAATGCTGAAAAAGTCAATAGGACTCTAAAAATTAAAAATTTATTTTTTTAAAAAATTGATATTTATAAATTATACTTTATAGAATCAAAATTTTATGATTTATGTTTTTCTTTTTTATTTGCTAGTGCTTTAACTCTTTCTCTTTAAAAAGGCTTCTCTGTCGCTACGCCTTTTTCTTTTTGAAGTGGGAAATATGTAAGATAAAAAATGTATGAATCAGAATTATAATATAATTATAACATTAATTCTTCCTCTCTATTCTAAAATCGTAATAACTTATCTGCATTGCGTCATTCAAATTAATCATGCGATCTTACGTAACCGTTAATACCAGATGCCTCTTGACGACCAATCACCGAATTGTAAACCAAAACTTTTCTCTTCGCGTGCTTCCATCCTTCATAACTACGCACTTCAGCTTTTGCCCTCTACTCTGCTAAAATGTAATTTCGCTGGCTTGCTTTCCTTCTCAACAATATCAAAAATGTAAATCTTCTGTGGAAAGGCACGACTAGAGTGCCATGTGATTGTGGCCACAAATATCGATTGGAAATAAAAATGGAATTAAAACTGCCTCGACTGCCAAGTTCTTTAAATACTCAAGTTTTTTAAATACTACGCAATCAAAATTCTTCTTCAATATGGATCTTAGCACGCATCTACAACGTTCCGTCATTTCCTTTTGCTTTTATTATGAAATATATATATATATATATTTCATATATATATATGGGGTGAAGTAACATTATCTCCTCCGAAATGGCTGGCTGCTGGGCTTAGCGGAGCACAAAGCTGGATCCCGCAGGTCCGTGGCATGCCATTTTGACAATTCGCGTCTTCTTGGGACTTTAATTAGCCAAGATATTAATCAAAACTAATTTTCCCCTACATTTTCCACTTTCTTTCTTGGGTTTTCCCTATTAGAGGGAATTGGCTATGTGCAAATTCTTTTTTCTCGAATATCTACGGAAAGGCGCCGAGTTTAGATTCGAGACGCGTATCCTCGGATTCCAAAAAATTCTCCGAATTTATCAATACCGTTCTCATCTTCGTACAACTTTAATCGGTTGAGATATTAATTAAAAACAGTGGAAACGTTAATTTCCGTGTTTATTTTTCCGATTGGCAACAATAAACTATTAGCCGCTTATATATATAAAGATATATTTATTTACTTTTGGTGTGTCCCATTGCAACCAAACAGGGAGGTGCACATCTGCATGTTACAGCAGTCTCACATACAATATTTCGACATTCTGAGGCTATCCATTTTTGAGTTACGCAAGATAACATACATACATATAGACACCACATAAAAAAAAAAAAAACTTTAGAATCCATTTTAAATCAGTTTTATAATTCATTTGGGGAAAAACCAGTCTTTTATTATATAACTACATACAGATGTCACGAAGAAACATTGTTAAATTGCATTCGATAGCAGTCAAAATGGATATTTTCTTTGAAATATGGTACCTGGAACTTTTTGCAATTACTATACCTCGTTTACTTCGTACAAGGAGTAAAATGTAATATGTTGAAAATGTTTATTTTTGTAGGCTATGTTACAATTGACAATAAACTAACAGTTGTGAGCAAAAATACATGGAATTTTTCTCTACAGCAAGCTAAAAGTGTCAGCTGCCAAATCTCAAAAGAAAAAAAAAAGTTATAAGATTGATAGAAGAATAACAAAATGAACATTATGCTATCTAAACCGAAATGATTTCTTACAAACCCAGTATATACATAAGATTTCATGTAAGAAGATACTTCTCTTCAAAATTAACTAACCCTCTGAGCACCCCGGGTTTTTGGATATGTCATGAAGACCTGTATTTAAAGAGCCTTTATTAGCTAAATATGCTTACATATTTTAGTCTCGATTTTCATAACCTTATATTCATCAAGATGGCATTTACGAGGCACGTCCAGAAAATAAGCTCCGTTTCAATTTATCTCCGCTGCAGCTCTGCGATCGCAGTTCCGCACATGCGCAGTAGACGCTCTGTATCAAGGAAAAGAAACGTGCGCCATTTCGAGATCGCTGTCAGTCACGTACGCTTTGTTGTACTTGTTTACAATGTCGGTGTTGATTGAAAATCCCGCCGCTTGTGAAATCAGATCTGTAATTCGTTTTCTGAATGCAAGGAAAGTGAAACCTAGTGAAATTTATCGGCAAATTTGCGATGTTTACGGACCAAAAGCAATGAGTGATTCAATGGTGAGAAGATGGGTCCGAAAGTTCAATGACGGACGTAGTGATGTGCACGATGAAGAACGAAGTGGGCGTCCATCTTTGGTTACAGAAGAACTGGTTCACGCGATTGATGACAAGATCCATTAAAACCAAAGGTTTACAATTAGTGCTCTCGCTATGGAATTTCCCCAAATTTCATGATCACTAATGCATGAAAATGTTACTGAAAAACTTAAATTTCGTAAACTTTGCTCACGTTGGGTACTAAAGATTCTTACTAAGCAACACAAAACAAAACAGATGGGTAGTGCACTTCAGTTTTTGACTCGTTATGCTGAAAGTGGCGAAGAATTTCTGACACAGATAGTCACAGGAGATGAAACTTGGGTTTCTTACGACACCCCTGAAAGTAAGCGGCAATCAATGGAATGGAGGCACACTTCATCCCCAGCAAAGGTTAAGCCGAAGCAAATCTTGACACCTCGAAAAATGATGTGCAGTGTTCTGGGACTGGAAAGGCATCTTACACACTGATTTCTTACCGCGTGGTCAAACAATCAGAGCAGATGCTTACTGCGAGATACTTCGGAAATTACGCCGCGCAATACAGAATAAGCGCCAACGATTGCTGTCAAAAGGTGTTTTTCTTCACGACAACGCACGACCACACACTGCAAATGTGACGAAAAACCTCCTACAGGGATTTGGCTGGGACGTGTTTGACCATCCTCCGTACAGCCCTGACCTCGCTCCTAGTGACTTTCATCTGTTCTTACATCTTAAGTCTTTCCTTGGCGGTCAACACTTGAACAATGACGACGAGCTGAAAGAAACTGTTTCCAACTAGTTGAAGACACAGGCGGCAAATTTTCTATGAAGAAGGTATACAAAAACTTGTGCCACGCTATGACAAATGCTTGCAATATTTCGGCAGTTATGTGGAAAAGTAGTTTAAGAGTTGTTGAATTTTGTGCAATAAATAACTTTTCTGTAGCTGTACACAATTTACTTTTATTACCAAACGGAACTTACTTTATGGGCGTACATTGTACATTATTAATGGAAGAAATAAAAATATCTTAAATTATAAGCTAATATATAACAAGTGACAAAAAATCTCATGACCGGATAAAGGTTAAAACAAGGAAAGTTAAAACAAATCGGAAGGTTAAAACAAGAAAAATCTGATGTGTACACCAGATGTCTTCCTTGTACAGAGTATTAAATTATACGCATTTTTTCTTGAATTTCATTTAAACTTATTGGATTGAATTAAATCTACTTTATCGATAGCGCATAAACCAGAATAGAATAAATGCACTCTTTACAATTCACTATATTTCTTTACCATAATGACACTCTGGCGCTAGGTTCACTTAGCAACATTATATTTTGTTCATATTATAACTCAGAATGCACAAAATTTTTATCATTTGAAGAATTATCTAATCGTTGCCACATGTTCAATTCAAATACTATAATAAATCTAGAACGATTTATAAAAGAAATTAAGCAAAAACAAAAAAGAAACAGTTTTTCACAGACGATTCAGTATTTCTCATTCAATTACTTCATTTCTCACTTTGCAACAAGGCAAAAATACATAAAAACTGAAAATATCTATATTAAAAATTTTGAAGTAAATCTTAAACACTTATTTCCTTGAAAAAATTCCAGAAAGGATTAAGCATGATTTAATTCGCAATAATAAATGAAGGCGTTATCTTTGTTGTTGCAAAGCTTAGTCTCTCTAGATTTGCAACCAATCTACTATTCTGTAAATGTAAACAAATATGTTCACCATGTTATTTAAAAATTAGGTTTAACCGCACTAAAACAGCTTTTAAATTGTTGATAATTCTACAAATATTGCTTGCAGATTTCCTAAAGGCATAAAAAATCTTAACCGGAAGATAAGGACCACATAATTCAATCATTTTTAAAGCAAAAAATGCACAACTTACAAACATATAAGAGTAAAGTAACTGAGATCACCGAGCCAGGTAACAGAGTGGATTATATATATAAATATATTTATATATGTTTGGTGTGTCCGATTCCAACCAAAATACGAGGTGCACGTCTACATTTTATAGCAGTCCTCTATACAAAATTTGAGGCCACTCGTTTTTGAGTTACGCAAGATACATATGTACATACGTACATACAGACAGCATGAAAATTTCTCTTCAGAATTCATTTTAAAGCAGTTTTATATTTTTTTTGGAGGAAAAGTCTTTTATCCTGTCCTTACGTACAGATGTCATGCAAAAACATTGTTAAATTGCATTCGATAGTGGTCAAAATGGATATTTTCGTTTAAATATGCTGCCTGAAACTTTTCGTGATTACAACACTTCCTTTTTACTTCGTACAAGGAAGTAAAAAGACAATTACAAAAAAGTCTAATTTATTTATTCATTAAATATTATGCAGGAATTACCAGGAGCAGCGGATGTCGTAGTTAAACCAGTACAAGTACTGACAGTTGGAGCAGTACTTGTTTGATCTCTCTGAGTTGATGTCAATGAAGATAAAGAAGCTGAAAAAAGACAAAAATCAAATCTTTAGAATTTCAAGAATTTAAATGTATTTAAAAAAACTAAAAATTCAAAATCATAACAGTTTTATTCAGCAAGAAATTTCAAACCTTGAATACATTACCATAGTTATTTCACACACATAAAACATTTCAGATTTAGACTTGTTTTTAACTCTTTCACATCAATAGAGGCCGGAATCTGTTTCTCTCAAGCATATGATTTTTTTTTTTTTTTCCCCTTGGCATGCTGTTGTTGAAGAATGTACACAGCGGACCTATGGTGCGTTCTTTTGTTCCACTTTGTCTGTGCTAATGGAGCACTTAACTTGTAACCTTGCACATTATGTAAATAATTAAATATTTTAGGACCAATTTTGCAAGAGAAGGCCCTAAAATTTTATGATGAATTTCAAGAAGAACCTGGATTTACTGCTAGTGGCTGGCTGGCTCAATAGATGAAAAAGTGGTACCACCACTCAAAGATCACTGGGCAAGAGCTGATTTTTTTAAAATTCATATGTTATTTCTTTCTAGGATCATTATACTCGATGTCTAGAGTTTTTTAATTAAAACATTATGCAATTTTTTTTTCCCTATGCCAAGTAGAATGCTACAGCATTAGCAATAGCCTTCTGCAGTGAAACAATTGTTTCACTCTTGGAGATCTTTGCACACTTTCAACCACTGTGTACAGTATGGAGGTAGGAAGTAAGAGGAGAGGCCCTAACTGGTTTACCCTGTTCACTGCTTTGAAGCAGAGGCAATCCCTTCATGGAAACCAAAATACTCAATTATTTACTATTTAGATCAGTGTTTCCCAATGTGGGGCCCCAGCCACACAGATGGGCAATTTGTTTGTTAAGGGAGACAATTCAAAAATGGACTCATCCAGAGTTTAAGGCGACAAAGAACGTTCAAATTTTCAAATTTTCTTCAAGAAATTTCAATTTTTATTCCCAAAAGTAAAGAATAATGTAAGTGATGTATATGTAAAGAGGTTTCTAAATAGTGGTGCATTTGAAATATTTTATAAAGAATTTTTGCAGTAGACATCGACATTTAAATGCTTAGAAATTTCTTGCTAAAACCCACCATCCAAGTTTCTTTCATGAGCATTTCAATTTTTTAATATTAAAAATTAAGTATCTGCTAGGGGGAGCATAATAATTTTAGAGAGGATTAGGTGGAGCATTGTTGGTTGAGCAACGTTGGGAAACACTGATTTAGATCAGTGGGTTTTGATATGATCGGGTGTAAACATTGTGTAATTACATCGTAAATATATGTATAAATATATATATTTCCTTTTACTACAATATTTCAGAGTCCTAAGTACGTGAAAAGAATGCCTTTTTAAACAACATTTCATTCCGAACAGAATTAAATGTTATACATTTTCCAGACCAGTTTGCTCAGAAGATTAATTCGAATGAAATATTTTTACAAGTTTTCATTAATTACCTTAGGAAAAAATTTTAAGGTAATTCGATTTTATTTGTACAAAATTCCAAGAAGTAAGATCAAAGTTTATTGCATTATTAATATTAAAGTTACGTATTATTTCTTTTCTGTTTACACAGCTTTTTCCTAAAATACTTTCTCAAATATGAGAGGAATTTTTTTTAGCTTCTGAAACATCTTTTAAATAAAAAATCCGAGTCAATTTATGATTAATGCTCTGTTCGGTTCATTTCAAATTACAGTACCTGTTCGGTTTAATATAGCGCCCTCTTGTGAGAGAAGCCAAATTTAGTTGAGTTGGTTGTTGAAGAATGTACACAGCGGACCTATGGTGCGTTCTTTCGTTCCACTTTGTCTGTGCTAATGGAGCACTTAACTTGTAACCTTGCACATTATGTAAATAATTAAATATTTTAGGACAATTTTGAGAGAAGGCCTAAATTTTATGAGAATTTCAAGAAGAAAGCCTGGATTTTTACTCTAGTGGCTCGCTCGTAGATAAAAAGGGTACCACCATCAAGATCATGGAGAAGCTGATTTTTTTAAAATTCATATGTTATTTCTTTCTAAGATCATTATACTCGATGTCTAGAGTTTTTTAATTAAAACATCATGCAAATAATATCAGAAGCATCAAAAGGTTAAATAATAAGAGTTCTAATAAACCCATCTCTTATTCCGTAAAACAGGAATTTTTGGAAATTCGACAGTCTCTCAGTCCATATTATGTCGAGTTTGCGGAACAATACAGTAATAAAATAAAATACTGGACTTTTTTTTATTGGACAAATTTTTTCTAATGTACAATGAAGGACAGAAAAAATAACATTCTTTCCCAGCATACTAGTGCAAAAAGTTAGAATGGTTAAACGAGAGTCACCAGAGTAAAGAGAATATAGACTAGATGGAATTGAAGGAAATTTTAATGCAGGTATGAAAACTAAAGAGAAAGTTCCAACACTTCTGACCACGGTTCCTTGCCGAATATTCACTGTGAAGCAGAATTGAAGGAGAAAATTCTCTGAGAAAGGTGAGAGCTGCGTAGCTTGTGACAATTTCGTCACCTATGTTGTTTTATTTTATTAAACTCTGCAGGATCTCTTTTCAGTGGGAAGTCATTAACTTTGGAGTTGGACGATCAGGGCTTTCATGACTGTCAGCACTTTCACGACTTTCGGCAAAAAAAAATTAGGCCCTGTAATAAATTTATTGCAATTCTAGTAGAGTCAGCCTTTGACACATAGGCGAGGATATTTTTCCTTAAAAGTCTCAGTTTCCATCAAAAGACAGATGTCCCAGGAAAAGACAAGCATGCATTTAGCAAAGCAATAACCTTGTGTTTGGTGTATATTAAATTAAGACTTTGTTGATTTCGAGGACAAACAGTTTCAGGTCCCTCTTCGTCAAATAAAGGGACCTGTACCTGTTTGCC